TAGGATGAAATCAGAAATAGACGAACAAACAAGGTAGATTGTAATGGAGTTTTTACGATAAAACTGATTTAGCAGTAGAATAAGGATAAGTAGAATATTTCCGATATTGCCAGTTAACAGTATAATGATACTGCCGATTAAAGTAACTTTTCTCGAAATAAATTCAATATGACGAATAAATCCAGTATCATTGGAAATTAATAATGAATTGTTATCCATACTTGTCAAGTTTGACTAGAATTATAGTAACAAATGGTTCTGAATAATGTTGACAACGACATATTTCGATGATTCTTGCGACAGAAATAATCCTATCATAAAAATGTCAGCAAAAACTACTTTGAAAGAGGATTAAACAGTCTCATGCAGCAAAAAAGCATACACAAAAACACAACTCATTTGTGACAAAGATTATAGGAACTAAATCATATAAACCGTCAGATACAGAAGTACGAAAAAACGAATGAGATTACTCCGTTTGCAGACATACAATGAAATATACTGTAATGTTTATTCGCTATTATTCATTTCAAAACTTAATAGCATCGAAAGGTTTCGGATTAACAACAGGCAGATACAAATTTTGAGCTTTTGATGTTTGAAAGAGGAAAATTCCCACGTCTCTTCTAAACATAGAAGTTTTAAAAAAAATTTCCTATAAACTAACAGTCTGTGGTTTCTTCACTCTTTTGTTACTTAAGCGTCATTGGTAAAGTTTGAGGCTGTTTGGAATTTCGTGAAATTTGCGAGGGCTTACAAATTTTTAAGAAAATAATAAATTGCGCCGTTTCTAGAATAAATGGCTCACCCACTTTTTTCCGAATAAATGGCTATACAGTTGCCTATCCGGAAAGGTTGTCTAGCATAAATGGCTTTTTTTCCTAGCGTAAATGCTCTGCCATTTATTAACCTCTAGCATAAATGGCATAGCCATTTATTACTCTCAAGCATAAACGACTCTTTCTCTTCCAGAGATTCTCCCTCGGTTGTCATGACACCAACAGCAGTTGCACCTGAAAGGCGTGGTATAGATTTCAACTTGTTATTTGCTCCAACTTACTATAAGGTTCGTTATCCATAGCAATAAGAATATTCGATTCAATATCAACTAGTACCTTCTCGAATCGTTCTTGACTTAATTCTTGACTTAACTTAACGTTCCAAACTTAATTTACTGTCTAATGCCATTTGGCTAACTGTTTCCATCTAATATATCTTATACCTAGAAAAGGAACTCCGGTGCTAAGCTTTTCTCGTCGCACATACAGCCATCTATTCTAGGAAGTAATAAATGGCTTAGTCATTTATTGCCATTTATGCTAGAGATTCAAATTACTATCCTTGTACAAATCTCTCTCTAATATCTAGAAAAGCTAGAAAATAGCCATTTATGCTGAAGAGTCTCTTCTAGGAGACATTTTTTCTGTGTGTTATAGAAGCCATTTATCTGAGTAGAAGAGCCATTTATTCGGGGAAGTAATAAATGACTTTGTCATTTATGCTAGGAAAAAACGCCATTTATTCTAGGGGTGGCGCTTTACCGTTTCTTTACAGGTAACGCAGTAACGCATGCGTTATTGCGTTTAAGTAACTTCGACTAACGCAGTAACGCTTATGATACAAGTCAAGCTAATAAACACTTATATGTTTCTTGCTGATATAACTATTGTTGGTACGATTGAGTTTCTGATTTCAGTTAAGCTTACTTCGATAAATATAGCGAGTAAAATTGCTTTAATGTACGGTTTTTGTTTGTGTTAATATTTTTATCCCTTCAGTTCCATGCGACTGTGTGGCTGCTATGGTATTACTGTGAACATCTGGTTATAATGTAAGGTGTTCTGCACTCTCTGGATACCCCTAGTAGCTCTTGCTGATAGTGCTGAAATCTCTGGTGATAACTAATCGTACTTTGTATACATATATATATATATATATATATATATATATATGTATTATACAAATTTCTGATATACTGTCTTGAAGTTTTAACTTTTGAGCAAAGATTTGTAGACATGTATTTGAACTAACTCGTTACAGCACTGACATAACATCGTTATTAGCACTGACATCAATACTGAAGTATTAGTCAGACTTTTCTTTTATTGAACATTATCACTAATTGCCGTAACGGCAATGCCGTTACAGTTGATACACTCTCGTTTTATGAGTTTTAGGTTCTTACGTGCGTTGTTGTTCTTTCGTCATTCCAGCAAGAAAACAGCGTTAATATCATTAAAAGTGAAAACGAGAACTAGCGATGATAATAAAATGTTCTTGATGATTCATGTCAGTGCTACCTAATTCTGAACGGATGTCGACATTCAGCATCCACCATTCGAAAAAACACTCAATACGAAATAGATCAATTCTTGTTTCAGGTGCCTTTAGGACCTGAATGTTCCAGGTCTCAATGGCATAACCTTTTGAAAAAGTGAATGGCAAAAATGAAAACATGTGCTAGTCAACTTTGCTAAAACTCGTCATCACAATAACTACATTAATCATTCGAAACTTAAAAGCACTATCCTGCTTTTTCTTTTTTTTTACCATTGTCATAAATTCTAGAGGCTGAGTAAGAAAACTTTCTGAGAATAACAACTTGTCGTATAACAGTGGTTAATTAGAGGGATCAGAATACAGTCATCTGAGCTACAGCGCATAAAGCTATTCGGACTAAAGGTTGATTTTCCCTCATGCATTGCGTTACTTTAACGGAGTAACGCACACGTTACTCGTTACTAGTAACGCATAATATAGTAACGCTTTAGTCGCATTGTGTCCGGAAGGTGATAAAACAATACATTTTCGGTTGTTCGTCACTCATACGGTGATATTTGAAAGCGTTGCTTTACTCAGTAAAGTAACGCATCAGTAAAGAAAATGTGCCACCCCTAATTTATTCTAGAAAACAGCCATTTATGCTGAAGAGTCTCTCCCAGAACACATTTTTTCTTTCCACGATAGGGAGCCATTTATTCTAGAAAAACTGTGGGTAAGCCATTTATTCTAGAAACGGCGCAATTTATTTATCTAGTAATAAATTGTGACTTCTGAAATTTGCATGTTCATTATATATAACTGTACGGAAAACTAATTAACTTGGAAAATAATTTTATTTTTTTAATGTGTAGAATTTAAATAAGGAACATTCTTCTGCAACCCATACCCGAAGGAGGCTAAATGCGTATTCTATAGTGTTTCTGCTTTTTAATCTGTTGGAATTAAGAAAAAATGTCTTTTACCTCATAATTTTGTGTTTTTATAGTGTCTTCAAGACAAAAAAATCTTTAGGTGCACCTTTTCTGTTACTAATGACAAATCCTCAACGCTTTCTAGATACTTACACATAAAACGATGACTGAGTGTCAAGCATCCGCATAAAATTTTCTTGATTAAAATTAAAAGAGTTCATACTTATATGTCGATTCTTTGATTAATGACCTGGAAAGACACATTTCATGCAAAAAAAGATGTAATGAAAAGGAAGAAAGTAAATCACACTTACTAAATACTCCTCACCTTAAATAATTATATTATATAAAGTGCGTGTAATGCAGACTCGCAGCAAAAAATATTTTCCAACTTAATATACAGCGTTGGATAGACTTCATCGATTTGATTCAGAAAATATATTTTTTCGTTTTTAAAAGAAACTTTTTCATGTCGAAAAATTGCAAAAGCTTGATGGATGTAATACTCGAAACAGGACCAAGTTTTCTAAAATCTTTAATATTTCGGCATGATGTCTTTTTGAAGCCTTGAGCCAATTACTTTAAGGTTCGTCATTAAAAACTGAATCTGGAGAACTGAGTTTCAAATTTTAGCGATGGCCAATCGAACTGAAGGTCCTAAATGCGCTTCTGACGTCATTTTGTAAATCTATCTAGTTTTATATGTTGAGAAATGAAGCCAAGTTTTTAACATTGTTCGGTCCGCTACGATGCGTAAACTGAACTTGCGACTAAACTAATGTTGTACAGAACATAGAAGCAGAACGGTGAATTTAGTTTTGAAGTTAACTGGAAAGCTAAGCTCACATGTTCGCATCTCTATTCGTACAAAATTGATTCTGTGTTCTTCGATAGTTTTAGTTTAGAGTGCTATAATGGAATATTTTTCCGCTTATATTCTGATAGAATAAAGCTTATACCAACGTACGACTCACTTTGTCAGAGTTTTTCATCTATTTTAGAATAATTGAGAAGTTAAGGACCCCCTCAGAAAAAGGTTTTTTGTCCTACATCCGATTTTGATCAAACTTTCAGCAAATGTGTGATCACAATATTTCTTTTTACTCTCTATCTGTTATGGTTACGGAGTTTTCTAGAGTTCAAGGCTGAAAACCACCCTTCACTGCAAATTCCTCTTTCTCAATACAGCTCAAGATAGAGATCTCGGGTTGGTTTTATTCTAAACCGGACACGTAACTGTGAGAACTGATCGGAACCAGTTTTTCTAATTAGACTTTTGTTGGTTCTCTAGAGGCGCAAGATCCTGAAAAACCTTTCAAGTTTTCCAAAGTTCCTTTTTCCCTAGTTAGGTTTGAGATTTTTTGTTTATTAAACATATAAAACGCAGAGAAAAATACTCAACAACAAATAAAGGCCGATAGAAACAGAAAAACAAAACGCGACCAGTTGACTAGACATAGAATGGAAGTGAATTGTTCATAACTACTACTTTATCGAGAGAAATACGTGTGATGTCAAAGTTCAGCGGCGACGAGACTTCGTTTGAAGGCGCCGATAATGATCGTGAACATATTTGATGTGTGAACATATTTGGATGCAACATTTCTTCGAACCATTGTTTTGTTTGTTCATCTTTTAATCCAATAAATGATACATGTCCAACGATGTTGAAATTAACCCAACGGATGTTCATATTGATGAGGATTCTTTTGACAGTGGTAATTGTAAAATGCTCGTAAAGGTGTCGAATTACTTCGAAATCATATCGTTTGGCTCGACGTTTGCGATTCTTCCGCTGCTTTTTTGTCAATGATGGTCGATAGGATGGTGATTCAGCGGGTATTGTACGAGATAATGTGTTGTTTGATGAGTACGATCAATTAGTTCATCTAATAGTTCCATTGATGTTCGATGATGTATATAATAACAATGGTACGACGATGGTTGTTGAAATGGTATGCATTCACCCGTGCGACATAATTGTTTATAGTTATCATTTTCAATAACTTTTTTTGGTTTATATTTTTGTGTTAATTTATCTAATTTGTATAATGGTGTTACATAATATGATAACTTTTTTGAATTAGAAGACATATCTGAGTTAGAATGTTGAGACGATCGAGGAAAATTAAGCATCTAAAAGGGAAATTGATAGATAATAGACTCGAACCTATGCTGCGACATTTCAGAGTCCATATTGGACAGAGCGCGGATGGAATGTGAAATGTTCTTCACTGGGATGGCGTATATGGCTTGCTACGCTGGAAACTTGAAATAATTCAAAATATAAAAAACTAAAGGAAAATAATCCAAAAATAGAATCCGCGTTATGAAACATGAACTTCTGCGAGGGAATTCATATATAATGGGTCGATGGATCTTGGGTATTAATTATAAGAAGGATAATAGCAACGACAGCTGTCAAATATTCTTGTATAACACATATCACTGAATATTCAACTGTCGTTAAACTATCATTTACTATTATAGTCGGCATTGAAACAATAATTGGCCAGTCATCATCTCCACCGATTCTATAAATGTGTGTTGTTTGAAGAGAAATGCTGCTGTCAAAATCATAACAATCGATATGAATTCGTAAACAAAAGAGCGTTTTCATAATGATCACAATGATGATGACAACTCTCTGACGATTTGACTATACTATCATATTTTATTGGATGTTTTCCGCTCAAATAACGGTACTATAGAATCTACTATAGTACCGTTACTATAGTACCGTTAATAACGGTAGTGCTTTTTTATGTGTTGTACTATATAAATTTTAGCTGTTAACCGTTAACTGATTTTAAATGGTCCCTCATGACGAATTTGTGTCAGTTACGTAACGAGTTCACGAGGACTAAATCGTTCGTATTGTACGATGGATTCGATCGATGGTCGTCATAACGAGATTTATATTTTTCTTGGGTTTTTTTAATAGTTGCCTTCGCTTGTTCGGTTAGTGACGATAAGTATTGATTTAATTTGCTAACATGCTCAGAGTCTTGTTCGAGCGATACCATTTCGTCTTGATGGTCAAATGGTAGCACGAGTAATCGTCCAAACATCATTTCGAATGGGGTTTGTATGTTTTTGTCGTTGCATGGATGGTGGTGTTGTAGTTAAATGTGACGAATGGTAACTGTTCGTCCCAATCGATCTTTCGTTCATTCGGTAGTGTGGCTATTTTTGAATCCATGGTTGAATTGTATCTTTCTATCTGGCCGTTCCTTTGTGGATGATAAGGTGTGGAATATAAGTGTGTAACGCAGATTTCTTTTTAATAAATTGTTCATCACCATCGATGTGAAGTGGCTACCATTGTCCGTTAAAATACAACGCGGTATTCCATACTTGCAAATAACAGCTTCTTCGATAAATCGAGCTGGCGTTTCTGCCGTACAATCACGCACAGCTCGTGTAATAATGAATTTTGACAGTACATCAGTAAGGGATATAATATATTTATTACCTCGCAGTGTGGTGGGTGTGATCGGTCCGTGAAAATCCATTGTAAGTAATTGCCAGACTCCGGAAGGTTTTTTTATTGGTTTTAATGCTCCAGGTGGCTTACATCGACGCGAGTTATATTGCGCACACAATAAGCATGATTGTACGTGATTCTTTATATCCTGCATCATGGATGGCCAGAAATAACGTTGTTTAATTTTTGAGGTTGTTGGATTACGACGAAAATGGGCTCCGTTTCCACGTTTATCATGATAAATTTTTATAATGTCTGCGTGTATTTGTCCTTTTGGTGCGAATGGGACTGGTGGAGACGATTTTCTCATCAACATATTGTCTTTGAGAAAACATTTCGGATAATCTTTAATATTATTATTGATCTGTGCTGCCTGTTCGCTCTGATGTTGTAATGCTTTTACCTGTTCGTGTGTAAATGGGGTAATTTGATTCGGATCATTTGGGCTCAATGCTTTGATATCACCTTTTGCGGACGGAACGATTGAATTATCAGTGACGTTTTTAGTTATCAGCCGGCGGTCTGGTGCAACGCAGGGATGATCGACCCGTGTGTGATTGTTCTTCTTCTGTTGCAGTTGATCATAGGTCTGATCCGTTGCATAACGATTAATCCTCTTATCATATTGTTTTGGTTGCGCTCGTGTGACAACGGGTGCCACCATCTGTAGTGGTGTAGAATTTTCGGTTTGTACCCCCCGGGACGTGGTTGGGAGGTAATCATCTTCGTCGTTCGTTGCATCATCGACAGACGAACGTGATAAATAATCGGCTACGGTGTTGTGTTTTCCCTTAATATGATGAACGGCGGATTGGTATTGCTGTAATTTTAAACGCCATCGCTCGCATTTTGAATTCAGTTGTTGTTTTAAATTAAATGGTAATAATGGTTTATGATCTGTTTCAATAACAAATGGACGTCCATCGAGATATTTATGCCATTTTTCAATTGCTGATACGATGGCATAACATTCGTGTTCTGTGGCAGGCCAGTGCATCTCTGTTGATGTTAACTTTCTGGAAAAATATGCAATCGAGAGATCACTATTGGAATGAGTCTGCAGTAGAACAGCTCCTATTCCAATTTTGGATGCATCGATTTGTGTCTTGAATGGTAATTGTTCGTCTGGAATGCGTAATACAAGATCGGTAGTTAAGATTAGCTTCAGTTCGTTGAATGCGTTGAGTTCGTCATCGGATAAAGTAGTAACGGGTAAAGATTTTGACTTTTTACAGCGTTGTTCTTTCGTGGTCGGTGCGAATTTATCTAATGGTTGGGCTATCTTTGTGAATCCGGGTATAAATTTGCGATAGTATTCAGCTGCCTTTACGAATCGAAAGGCTTCCTTCGCTGTCCTGGGAAGCTGGGTTTCTAATAATGCGCGGATGTTATCGGAATTAGGCCGGATATTACCGTATTCAACGCAATGTCCGAGGAAGTTGATAGTCGTCTTGACTATATGACATTTATCGACATTTAATCGATAGTTCGCTTCATTTAGGCGATTTAATATATCATCGAGATGTAATAAATGCTGTTCGAATGTTTGTGAGTATATAATCCCATCGTCTAGATGTGCTAAGGAATATTGCCAACGTGTAGGTCCCAGTATTTGACTAACTATTCGTTGGAATGCTGGCGGTCCATTTGTAACGCCTTGAGGTAATACGATGAATTGAAATGTTGATCTCGGGTGGAGAATGCTATTTTTGGACGAGAGAGATGGGCGAGTCCGAGTCGTGACTCGGACTCTTGTCGACTCGAGTCACCTTTTTTTAATGACTCGGACTCGACTCGGACTCGAAGATTGGGTGACGTTGACTCGACTGTTTGACTCGAGTCATTCATTAAAAAAAAATTTATTTTGCTCTTATAAAAAATCACAACTCATCAGATTAAATTTTCACTTATTCGTAACTTTCGTCCTGATTGGATACATATGTTCTGTCTCGTTCTGTTTTGTTTCGACTCATCTTTGAAGTGTGTATATTGTGTCAAAATTATACGGGCGGACGACATTGGAACTTCGTTATCAGTTTTGAGTCCAAATTGTTAATGAAGTTACAACTGCGTCCGCTGTGTCAAATTGACACGTCATATACAATAAAGTAGATGAAGGCTTTGCATTGCATCATACATCATATTCTCTGTAACATTATAATATAATCGATTGCATAAAATACATTTTTGAATAAAAAACGTTTTGATTAATATATAAATTTGTTAAAATTCAGTATATTTTCATATGTCAAATTCTGCTAGTTCATCAACAACACTTAATTCTTCAACTTCACAACATAACATAAACGAATTAAAGCAATCTATTGTAAAAAAGGTTTTTATTGATGTTCAAGCAAAAAAACCAAATTCATGGCATGGTAAATGTTCAGTATGTTCACAAAATGTTGTCGATAAATATAGCACCACATCTAATTTTGCACGACATATGAAGACCAAACATGAAACTATATATGAAGAATGGTTAGCTAAAAAAAATGTTAACACTGATGCAAAACAACGAAATCTTGATGACATGATTAAACAGAAAACAAGTAAATATTCATCAGCTGATCCAAGACAAGTTAAATTAACTGAATCTATAGTAAAAGATTTAATAATTGAATGTGGTGTACCGTTATCATTGGTAGATCAAAATGGTTTCTTGGTCTTTTAGTGTTATGTGACCTACGGCAGACGAACTTTGATCAACCACCGAATTGAACATTTTTGTACTGTCTTGGTAGACTCAAAATTTTGCTTTTAAATCATAACCCTGTTTTTGTGATCTTCACCATACACCCACTTGGGTATTGGTATCTTTAACTAACTAACTAACAAAATGGTTTTAAAAATTTTATGCAAGTGGTTGATCCAATGTACTCACTTTTAAGCCGCCGACAATTAACTCGTGATAAACTTCCAAAATTACATAATAAAATGGTTACGAAATTAAAGATATTATGCAATAATGCCGAACATGTACCAGTCACATTAGATGTATGGACTGATAGACGATTACGTTCTTATATCGGTATTACGTTGCACACATTTGTTGATGACGAATTAAAATCATATTTATTATCATTTGCACCACTGAAAGGTCATCATACCGCTGATGTTTTATTGGCTGAGTTTGAAAAAGTAATTAATTATTATCATATTGAAAAAAAATTAGTACGTTTAATTACGGATAATGCAGCCAATAATATAAAAGCATTCGATGACATTTTACTTCCCGGTTTTGAAACATATTTTGAGAATGATGACTGTAACAATGATGGCAATGGCTCTTTACAGAATAATAATGATGATGATGATTGTGAAGAAATATTTAATAATGATTCGTATGATCGCTTTGAATTAGTACCGTTAGCTGATGATATTATTCAATGTGTAAGTGAAAATTTAGAATTATTACGTTTGCCATGCTTCGCTCATACGCCGTCATAGCAGCACTTTATTTGCTGAAAAATTAGATAAATTATCAAAGACAATACCACGAGCAACAAAATGTCGTTGGAATAGTCAATTTTTAACTGTTACTGCTGTTTTAAATATACCTATAATGATACTCAATGATATTTTAACTGAATTAAATAAAAAAGAACTATATATTTAACAGAAAAAAATAAAGAAGTTCTTGATGAATTTATGACATTATTTTGCTTATTTAATGAAGCTACAGTTTTGACTCAAGCTGATCAAACAGTTACAATAAGTACTGTTGGACCAGTCCTTCTTAATCTATTAAGTGATCTTGAACTTGAAAAAAAAAGTCTGGACGTATATGTTTATTGTGTGATACTTTAATTTCTTCTTTAAAAACATGTTTTGGTGGTTTTTATAAACATTTTTCTATTAAAACAGATGAATGTATCGTAAAAATAAATACAAATGCTAATACATCGTGTTTATATGGTGATCCAATTTTTTTGATGAGTCCAGTTTTAGATGGACGTTTTAAATTTCAGTGGATAAATGATTGTGATTTATTATCTGATTTAACAAAAAATAATATTATTTTAACTATCAAACAATATATTATTGATGCATGTATAAAACTTAATTCAAAAAATAACATTATTAAGGATGATGTTCAAATGATACCTGAAGAAGCCAGCAGCAATAATACAAATGCAACATTTTCTGATAAAGGAAATAAAAAATGTTTATTTCCAACACTAAAAGTTGGTTCACCTTAAAAAGATAGTTTTCTGCAGGAAGAAAATTTGACCAG